AGTGACCTAATCCTCTGCAGCTCTTTCAGATGAAGCCTCTTCCCTCCGTTTGTGTGTTGTTTTCCCCTTACGTGTCCTGTTCACATGGCAAGGCTTTGTTGAATGAAGTGTTGTGTGGGGACATTTCTGAAGCCAATATTAATTTACTATAATCCTGAAAACCTTGAGGAGTTTGGGTTTGTTCACAGCAGCTGGAAGCTGGCAGTCTTGTCTGTCCCAGCTTTTGTGTATTGTGAGTCCTTTGAACAAAGCTCTCTTCAGAAGTGACATCTGGGCTTTTGGGAGTATTTCCCTCCCATGTGATTCATCACATGTGAAGCCTGCTTTGACTTCTTGCAATCAGTTGGGGAAGCAGTAGGTTCTCTGAATTTTGGGGTTTTACTGTTGTTTTACACACGTGAAAGGAGCAGTGACAGTATATTCAGAAGTATTTTAAGAGACCATAAAATTTGTTTTAGTTTTGTTTGTTCTCTAAACTGCAACTTGAGTACTTAATATATTAGATTATTCATAATATTTTTTACTGAAACCTCAAATCAGCTTCAGTAGTGCCAAAAAGAGCAAGGGACTCCCTTGGAACACTTGCAAAACTGACAGGGCAGTTGTCTGTATTTAAATCTTAATAATTATGCCTGTCACAACTGACAGTGGAAGGGCTAATAGTAAATTCTGTAGCCTGGAGAAGCAGAGAGCAGGACCTGGATTTGTTTCCTGTGAGCCAGAGCTGAACGGTTCCCTCCTTTCCCCTCAGCACGTGTGTTGTGACTGCAAAAAGGATTTTTGCTCAGTTTGTTCAGTCCTACAAGAGAATCTCAGAAGATGTTCCACTTGCCACTTGCTGCAAGAAACGGCCTTCCAGCGCCCTCAGCTAATGAGACTGAAAGTGAAGGATCTGCGCCAGTACCTGATCCTCAGGAACATCCCCACGGACACCTGCAGGGAGAAGGAAGACCTGGTGGAGCTGGTGCTGTGCCACCATGGCTTGGGGACACGGGAGGACACGGACGCTGGCAGCTTGCGCTCGTCGCGCTCACAGAGCTCGGGCTTTTTCAGCCATCCCTTTTCCACCTCTGTGTCCATGTCAAACCCAGGAGAGCTTGCCAACAGAAGGGGAAGCACAGGAAGTGGGACACCTTCACGGGTACAGTGATTAACGTGATTTATGCAATAGCATTGCTTTATTTTATATAGTTTTTGATAGTTATGTATCAATTTAAAATAAAACACCAATTGATACAGTTTGGAGGGGCAGGAAAAATGCCTTTTCTACCCTGCACCTGAAAGCTGGAGATAATTAGCAGAGATTCCTAGTTCATGTCAGAAGTGACTTAAACCTGGGATGATTAGTAGCAATTGGAACTTCAAAATGTCATTCCATTGTCACCTGAGATCACCTTGGAAGGAAGGAAAGTGTTTTATAAGGGAATAACTTGGGTTTTTTATCCTGATGAGTTTCATTTTGTACACAGGGACAAACTGAATCATCTGTAAATAATGAAGAAGAAGAAAGTGCAGAAGAGCAGGTGAGATATCCAAAGAACAGACTTTTGGCATGTGACACCATGAAGTGTTTTATATCTCTGCCAACATTTGGCCTCATGCTCTGGTGCTTCCAGAGTTTGCTGTCTAGCACTGAATGGCTGCACACGCTGGCTTCAAAAAGAATTAAACTTTAGCCAAGCTGCTGCAGCTTCACGTGTCTGGAGTAAGCAGGGCAGCTAAAAGCACACAACTGATGTGTTTCAGACCCCGGGGCTGGCCAGGAAGAGAGCCAGGGCCTCCCTGTCCGACATCTCCAGCCTGGAAGACATCGAAGGGTTGAGTGTTCGGCAGCTGAAGGAAATCCTCGCCTGCAATTTTGTCAACTACTCAGGATGCTGTGAAAAATGGGAACTTGTGGAGAAAGTGAGCAGGCTGTACCGAGAGAGCGAGGAGAACCACAAGACACGTAGGTTTATTCTTTATTTCTTCTTTAAGACTACTGAGTTTCTGGTTTCCAGTTTCTGGTTTGGTTCTGCCAGTGGAAGAATTTGGTATGTGACCTCTGTCTGCACTGCTGGAACACCTGGAAAATGTGTTTTAGCAATGCAGGGGTGCCTCTACAGCACCTGAACATGGCTGCAGTGATTAAACAAAGCTTTCCAGGATTGTGCTGGTTTTTTGAGACTTTATTCCAAAGCTTGGAGAGCTCAGCTTTCACAGTGAAGGTAAAATTGCACAACTGAGAACTGGTTCCTGAGAGAACTGGAACTTGGCACCTCCCTGTGCTTTGCTGGGTTTCACAGAGCATTAGCCAGAGCTGCTCTGTAGCTGTGCAGATCAGGGCACTTTAGGTCTGTTACTGCAGAATTAAAATCTACAGTGACAAAAGTCCAAGTTCTTTGGTCTCAGTCCACACTTTCATGGGGTTGTTTTGTGGCTGCAGCTCAGTGGCTGCTGTTCTGCCCTCTGCTCCACGCAGCAGTTGGAGTCTTTCACTTGTGTAATTTGTCCTCAGACCAATTCTTGCTTACACAAAACTTGGGAAAAAACTGTAAACTTAAGGTTGATTTTTTTTCCCCATGATCTGCTGGAATGTTCAGTTATTGATGGGGATGGTGACTGTATGCAATGGAACTTGACAGATTTTGTTCACTTCTGCCACCTTTATGGCCTACTTAAGGCTTCTGCTTCTTAGGCTGCTGTATTATTATTGTGTTTAATCTTCTGAGGAAAGTGTTCTGCCAAACAGTGAGCTCCAACATGGAAAACCAACATGCTCTGAATTTTAATCCAGCACCTTATTTCACAGTCATTACATTCTGAATTGAAAACAGCTTCTTGAGTTTAAAGAATGAAGCCAAATATTGGATGTTCACTTGAGGGGCTTTCTAGTTCTTATTTCTTTGCTTATTTTTGAAGGAATATAGATTAATTCAGAGCTGGGGGTTAAAAAAGTTCATGTGAGGGCATGAAGCATGGCTGGGCTGGAACTGCCCTGGCTCTGCGGGGCCCGGAGCCGTGACCTCCCTCTCTGTTGCTTTGCAGAGGGGGAGAGGATGCAGCTGAACGAGGACGACGACAGCCTGTGCCGGATCTGCATGGACGCCGTGATCGACTGCGTGCTGCTGGAGTGCGGCCACATGGTCACCTGCACCAAGTGCGGCAAGAGGATGAGCGAGTGCCCCATCTGCCGACAGTACGTGGTGCGGGCCGTGCACGTCTTCAAATCCTAACGCAGCCCTGCCCCCGGTGCCCCGGGCAGCATTCCTGTGGGCAGGAGTGCTGGGCCCTGGGGCACGCGGCAGCGTTCTTGTTTTGGTTAAATTTGGCCTTTTTGACGTCAGGATGTAGAAGTTGGTGAAAGGTTTTTCAAGCAGCTCCTGCAGCGCAGGGCTGGGCAGGCCCAGATGCTGCCCCACTGACCTTACAGCCCCACAGATTGTCGGAGTCAAACTGTTTACAGCAGTTCTTGCTCTCTTCTGAAGAATCTCACCTGTCCTTACGCATTCAGCACTCGGCAAGTGGTCAGCAAACACCTCTGCTTGAGCCTGTTAGCCTGTGGTGTTCTCTAGTGCATTAGAAGCAATGAATATATCAGTTGATTATTCAGCTTTTCCCTAAGGATAGAATGTATCTGTTCCGAGGCCTGGCTGCCGTGCTGGTGTCGGACACAGCTTAGGAAGCACTGCCATGAACTGTTCCCGCACAGAAGCCCTTAAGCAATCTTGCTTTATGCTGATTGCTCCCTCTGAATGTCTGTCATGACACGTGTGCTGTCTTGGCTGTTTGTCAGTGTACAAAACACTCCATCGCTCTGCAGGGCTCGGGGGCCGCACCGGGCTCTGCCTGGTGGGCTCCAAAAACCAGTTACTAAGTGGGTTTTAGTTTAGGAATAAACTATTTTTTTAAGAAGGGTTACATAGTAAACCATGTTGGCGTGGTCCTTAATCCGCTCATGCCTCTTGTAACTATTAATCTGTGATGATTGTACTCCATGTGCCGACAGCCTGATGTTACTGTGAATCCTGATCAGGGGCACCAGCTCCTTGCTGCTAACGTGGAATGTACAGCGTTACTAACCTTAACTGGCGAGGGGGAGGCAGGAGCAGGGAGAGATTTTGTTAAAAATCTCCTGTTCACGGACTTTCACCCAAAGCCAAGTCACCCAAACCAGGGGGCCTGTACTGCTGCCAGCCCTGCACCCAGGGTCAGGCTGAGCTTTGTGCCATGAGCTGGGGTCCAGCTCCTCTTGGAGTAGGAATTATGAGGGTCCCTGTAGGATATCTGTGAGCAATGATCTGGGGAAGGGAGCAGCTAGAGGAGCTCGTGCAGGGTGAGAACAAGATGTCTGTGACCAAGCATGGCCGTGACTGGGATTGGTGAAGCTCACTGTAAAAAAGAGGTGAGGAAGGACCATGTGTGTTCAGTTATTCTTTAAGCAGTTGGTAAAAAAAATTACAGTTTCTCCTTTGAGTTCCCATGTGGCAGCAAAGTTCCAGAGCCAAGGCTGTGCTTGGCTGAGGGTGCAGGACCTGAGAACTGGACCTGTGCTGCATTGGCACCTGCTCTCATTTTTGTGAATACTTAAGCTGGCTTGGAAGAGAGAAAGCAGCTCCTCCTCACACAAAACACAGCTCCAAGCTCTACTGGGTATTTTTCAGAAGGGAGCAAACCTCTCAATGGCTTTATTTTTTAGAAGTAACTTTTTAAAGGTACTTAATTCCTGGAGTCTGTCCAGAGGGGAGGCTAATGAAGACAGACGTGCCCTCGGTGTTATTTCCATGCTGCTCATTAGCCACTTGAACTCAATAAAGATGGGTGATGGGCTCTCTCAGCCTCTGTCTCTTTTCTTACCCAGCCCTGGCACTGCTGGCCTCCAGTTTTAATGTTCTCAAGCTGTCAGTGATCCTGGAGCCTGACCTGGGCAGATCCCTGGATGTAACAATGCCCTGGAAAATGCTCAGAGCTCCGTGCAGCCGCCCCCCTGCCCCGACAGAAACGCGCAGAGCCAGCGCCTGTTTTTGTACAATTGTTTATACAAATTCAACAAAGGTAAAACTGCATCAGGAAGGTCTACGAAAACAACACCGTACAACAATGGCACTTATGAATGCAGAATTTTACAATCAGGAAATAACCATGTTATAAACCTTAAATGAGAACTCAACTCACACTTCAAAGAAAGAGAGACTACGTTTGACCATTTATTCTACTGCTGGACTCACTGTATAAATTAATTTTATATTGAGTACAAGAGCTCATGCTACAGAGTGAAACCCTCCTATGTGCAAAAGCTGAAATTGGAATTTTTTTAAAATTTTGAGAAAAAGGTGATTTCTATACAGATAAAAGTGTTTTACTTCAACTATAATTTACACCTTATTTCCACAACATGCTTATGTCACTTCTGAAGTATACAAAGCAGGATATAAACTTCCATTAAAACATGCTTTAAGTTGAAAGTATGAACCTACTTTTCCTGACCTGGGCACGTTTGTAGATAGATACTGCCTACGAAGTATAGGTTAAGTTCTCGCCTACCATAAGTAAAGATAAAAATTGGCAATCAAAACCAAAACACTGGTAATGCATTCAAACATTGCATAAATAATTTTTAAACAATTTTTGTACAAAAATAGTTCTGCATAATGTAAGATGTAACAAAACAAAACGTGTTAAGAAGGCAGAAATGCAGTGCGTGGTCCACTTAAATGACACCAACTTTTTTTTTTTCTTGTTTTAAGAAATGAAAAGCAGAAATCAAATTTACACTACCAAGCACATGCTGTGGTACTTTAAATAACAGTATTTCTTGGAGCTCAGTCTTCTTCCAGGGTGTGAACAATTATCATCAGTAACAGTCGCCTTATGAATTTGCATAAGAGCCAGTGCAGGTCATCCCAGGTGGACTGAATTAGTGGCACAAGTTGAAATTCTTAACATGGGTAGTTTCACGTTGTTCTCTCCTCACCAAGAGTTGTAAAATCCAATCACGGCATTTTCTGATATTCCAAGTTCCCAATTGAAAATAAAATCCCTACGTGTTCTTAGTCCCTTCCCCCCCTCGCCCCAGTATTTACACGAGTCCTTTAACTAACTCAGTTTTTGCAGAAGTTTTTCTTCCACCTGCCCGAACTGGACGCTCACGGACATCTCTGCTATGAACTGCTCACAGCCCTCCTTCGTCACCTGCTTGCAGTACCTCAGGTCGATCTGGCAGATGTTCCCACAACGTTTGAAGTAAGACAGGCACTGGTCAGTGACCTTATTGCAGTCTGGGGAGAGCAGAGGGGAGGAATTCAGCACTGATTCTTTCCTCCAGCACGAGGAATCCCCACCAGCTCCATCCCCAGCAGAGGAATCCCTGCCAGCTCCATTGCCCATGCCCATCCCCCAGCTGTTGTGTAACCCACGGGACCGAGCCAGGCAGCCCAGATGTGCAGAGAATCCCCCGGGAGGATGAGCGTGGATACAGCAGCCCCTGGCAGCTGCGGGGCCATTTCCACCAGCGGCACGCGGTGGCAGCAGCTGCTGCCAGGGAGTTCCAGCAGGAGCAGGGCAGGGCTGGGTCAAGCCCCCCTCACAGCTGCCATGCCCTGGCCGTTCCCTCCCCCCGCCCCTTACCTGATAAATTAATTTCCGTTAACGAATCCCGCGTGGTGGTTCCGACGGCGGTCAGCAGGTTAATAGACTGATCTGTCACGTGGTTACAGTAACTGAGATTGAGTTTGGAGAGCAGGGGCATGTGCCTGATGATGAGCCGCAGCGAGGCGTCCGTGATGTCCAGCCCCGCCAGGCGCAGCTCCACGATGTTCCGTAGCTTGCTCCGGTTGTCGATCTGACCTGCGAAGCAGAGGCACGAGGTCACTCCCACGAGCCCCGCCCCGTGCTGCCAACATCTGCAGGCCTCTACGAAATGCACCGTGACACACAACACCGCTGCCCTGGGTCAACTTCACACGCTTTTGCCTGTCTGGAGCTTTGGAGGGAACATCAGCAGGAACGCTTGTCTATTTTTGGAACAGGCACGTGGACAAAGCCACCTCCTGATTTCAAAACAAAAGGGATGAAAGTAACTGCAGGGGCCCAGCGGAATTACAAGTCGGGAATAAGCAGTAGGCTGTGCCGTGCATGCCAGAAAGCAGATCTGATTTGCTCAAAATTTCACCTGAGCTGAAATCCGGGCGAATGTGGCATGACCCACAGAACTGCTCCTTCCCTGAACTGGAAGAAAGTGTTTCCATACTCTCTAAAGTACACCCGTTGCAGCCTGAAGAGAAGAAAGTCAGACAGAAAACCAGCACAGCGGCTCAGATGACGGTTCAGCAGCCACAGCACATCCCCGTCACCCCGGGGCTCCGGCCAGGAGTGCTGCAAGTCACTACCTCCAACTGCCCAGGGGCAGCACGGCCCCAGCCCCGCGGGGCTCGGCTGTGGGGGCTCCTGCCCGTTTGCTCCAAGGGGGACTAAGCACAGAACAGCCCCGGGGGTGGGACGGGGCTCCCGGGCTCCTCCCGCCCTTACCTGGCCGGTTGTCCGTGGGCGGGGACAGGAGGTCTCTCATTTGTGCGTCTTTCAGTCCTTCTGCCCACTGCACGTCCAGAGTTCGCAGCAAGGGACAGCTGGAGCTACAAAGTGCCGACACTGCTATCCAAGAGCACCCTGATAACAGCAGGTCCCGCAGACCTGCAGACACAGAACAGGTTGGAGCACTGGGACCTTCCCAGGCACATCCCAGTGACCCCCACGGTCCCCTCCTCCTGCCCAGCTCTTCATCTGTCCCACCACTTGGAACTTCACTCCTTCCCCCAGTCCCCTCAGCCCTTTCCACAGCAGCATTCATTGCCTGCTGGGCAAGACCTGCCTCAAATTGTTTTAACTGAACATGTCAAGTGGTCAGAGAAAATACTTTTGGTTCATTTTAACCCACTGATGCTTCATTTTCACATGAAATGTGAAAGACACTTCATCTCCAGCCCTCCTAGCAGAGTGTACTCCTCCTCCAGGCCACCCAGTCCCTGGACTCTTTCCCCAGAGGCTGCAGTTCAGATACAGACTGGTTTTTTATACAAACTGGTTTGTGATTTGCTGATGAAAACACATCACTTACCTGGCAGTCTGTTGATAAGCCAACTCAGCTGCTTTTTAGATATATTTGTCCAGCTAAGATCAAGGGTTACAGGCTGTCTCCTAATAATGCCACTAAGCATAAGTGGAGTGATGGATTTACAATGGTTTAAATCTATTTTGGTCCATAATCTTTTGTCACAGCACCTACCCAAAAAGAAAAAAAGGCAACAGCACTTAATTTGGCACCTGTTTGCATTTTGGTAAGGCTTTAAAAGGTGTCATTAAACAGTAGGAAAAACTACAGCACTTAACTGAAAATTGCAAAATTAAGGCCAAGTATTGCAAAGATAAACACAACCCCACACAATGTTACGTAAGTTTCAAGTTTCTCTATCAAATATATCCTGCAATAAAGCATGGAATTACTGCCACAGAATTACAAGTGTCAACAACTTTGGATCCCATTTTAAGTCATCCCAGCACTTACTAAAATCCGTTTTATAGCCTGAAGACAAGTAACCACTTTTTCCTTATGTTTTGACTATGAAGTCTGACTTAAATAGTATCCTCATTTACACTGTGTTTTCCTTACTTAAAACAAGTAGATTTGGGAAAACAGATCCTCCCTCTCCTGTTGTGTGTTTGTTTTCCCTATCCATGTGGATTATGTGTCTTTTTGCTCTTTATGGGTCTCTAAGGGCAACAAAATCAAGTCTTGATGAGTGTGCAGGAGTCTGCATTTTTTCAATTTTTTTTTTTTTATTAGCAAATACTGTATTTAAATAGAAAATGCACTTGGCAGGTTTCAGGGACACCAAGCAGCCCACGGAGAAGACACTCCACACACATCACCTCACACTGAATTATCAGCCTCTGCTTTGTGTGTTCTGTTAGCAGGCTGTGCTGGAAAGGAGCCTGTTCCAGTCTGTCTGTCCTTGTGCACAGCAGGAACCCAGGACAGGAGTCACCAGAGCCACAAGGCCTCCCTGAGGGTCACTGAAACCTGTAAATCTGCACTAAAGCTTCTTCTGCTTCTGTGCAGCCACAGCTGTGTCAGGGCCACAGAACCTGAGCACAAGGGACACGCTGTGAGCAAACACCATCAACAAAGGATTCCTGCAGAACGCGCTCCGCTGGCACAGGGAACAGGCTGGCTCCCCACCCTCCACAGGGAGACAATCAGCACAGCCCTCGTGAGCAGCACACGGTGGGATCCTCACTATCTCAGTAGGTATTTAATAACTGAACTGCACAAATGCTGGCAGTCAGGAAGTCCTGGGGCACAATGACACCAAGGCTGAGGCAGCCTGGCTGTTCCAGCAGCAGGAACACTGCAGTGTCTGACTCCAGCACAGGCTGCTCCGGAGCCTGGCAGGCTGACGCCGAGTCTGACACACACAGCTCCAGCAGAAATGCTGGGAACTGCTGTTTCTGAGAACACAACATGAGATCTGCCACTTCTGCTGGTCACCCCTTCTGCCTGGGCTCAGCAGAGCTCCAGGGAGCCCACAGCCCTCCCCAGGAGACACCGGTGCCATCGCGCGCTGTCCTTCCGTGCCCGTCCCACCTCGGGTCCCGCCCTCCTTACCATCTGTTCCAGGTCTTGCAAACTCTCATACAGATGCACAAGTCTCTATGACTGAGGTAGCTAAAGACAGCCATCCAGACTTCCCTCTGCATCACGTGGGCTGCCCCGTCATCCAGGGGGAGCGAGTCCGGAGGGGGGCTGATGGGGGGTGGCCGGATGACGTGCCGCTCCATCTGGATGCACTTGGGGGGCGACAGCGAGGGCGGGGGCCGGGCTATGCCCCGGGGGGTGCTGCGCAGGCTGGGCATGAGCTGGTGGTGCCTCAGCTCCCGGGGAGTCCCGTTCAACCCTTTGCTGAACCTATGGAGTCTCTCGCTGTTGTTCAACGCGCGCTTGGGCTCCTCGTTCTCGCTCTCCGGTTCAGATTTGATGGGTTGGTGGTTCTCGTTGGCAAGGCTGTTCTCGGTTTTTTGGATCTCCTGGTTAAGCTCTTTGCTGAGCTCCTTGCTCAGTTCCTTATTGGGAAGCCGCCTTTTCCTCCTCATCTTGAACTTCTTCTTGTCCCTGGGCTCGGCGCCCTCCGTGCTGGGCCCTGCCGTGGGCGAGCTGGACCGAGACTGGTCGCTGTCCTTGGACCTGGGGGGTGCTTCTGGCAGCTCGTCCTCGGGCTCCTGCTTGAGGCGCCGCAGGGGTTTGATCATGGCAGTTCGGTCATCCGGGGCCTTCCACGATCGCCGCTGGAGGGAGAGACAGGGGCTGAGACAGGGGCTGAGTGTGGGAGCTCAGCAGAGCTTCCAGCAGCGCTTCCATGCGGATGCTCCGCACAGGAGCCCTGCCCGGGGCCAGCCCCATCCCAGCCCAGGGCCCCACCCATCCCAGCCCCATCCCAGCCCCGGGGTGCAGCCACCGGCCAAAGGTATCGAGTTCAAGAGGCAGCAGGGATGGGGAGTCCAGCTGTTGGCCCGCTGGACTCCAGGAGTGACAAATGCACTGATTCTCTGTGCAGATTCCTGCACACTCCAGGGCCTTGCCCATCTCCGAGTGGATCACTTACACACAGAACATCAGCAGCACACCATGGACAGCTTTGTCCCCAGCAGGCCACAAGAACCCAGGCTTGGGCCACATCCACTGCGCACCCACATCAAACACTGCCCAAGTACCCTCACGTCATGGCCAGAAGGGCCATTCCCAAAACCTCTGGGATCACAGTTGCCATTCTGGCTTGCTGGACACTCACAGCCTCCTTTAGACACTTTAGATGCTCCTTTACACCCAACCAAACCTTGGCCATCCCCTCCAATCCCTGCAGAACAGGGAATGTGACAGGACCTTCCTCCTGCCCCAGTTCCTGCTCCCAACAAACTGCTCTGCACTCTTCACCCCTCATCCACCCCCTCCAATTCACCAGGCTGTGTGAGAGACAAACTGGGGCCCAGGAAGGCTTCAAGCCCAATCTGATCACCACAAGCAAGAAAGAAGTCAGCAGCTGTTAAAATGAAATAGCTTTAATAAGGAGATCTGCACTGGCAAGGAGAGGGAAGTGCTGTGAGCACACTTGTGTCAGAGCCGTGCTTTCGCTTTCCCAATAAACTCATTGGATCAAGGCAGTGGCTGTGTTCCCAAGTTTCAGCCCGCAGTGCATGGTGGACAAAGCTGATCACCCTGCCTTTAAATTAACATATTATAAAGGGAAAAGTCCCAGTAAGTTAATGACAGGATAGAATAAAACATTACTACAGCAGGCCAGGGCAGCTCCCAGCACCCCTCACACAGGGCACTGATGGGTGCACTGCTTACAGGCACTGAATTCTGTGATCGTGCCAGGCTGTGAGGGCAGCAGTGTGCCAGGACAGCCCTGGGGGCAGCAGGGACTCCAGGATGTGCTGTGGCACAGCCTGCTGAGGGGCTGTGTGACTGGGGCAATGTTCAACCACACAGGGAGGGCCAAACATCAGTACACGATCAGATTTTTATTCCTTGGGTCATCAAAACACAATTGGCTGCTGTATTTTAATACAGGACACCAGAAGAGAAAATATAAACCCAGACAGTGCAGCTGAACTGTCCTGGAGTTAAAGATTTCCATAAGAGAGAGAGATTCTGTAATTTCAAGGTGTAAGTGGGATAAAGTTTTCTTCTCCAAGTTCTGGTTGTTGGAAGAAAGTAAAAAGCCCAAACACATTTGTTGTGCTGTGTGGTAATGTGGTGACCCACAGTGCCTTCCTCACTGGGGGCAGTGCACAGGGATGGGAAAAGGAAAGCATGGCCAGCAAGCAGCTGTGCATGAACTGCTGCTGTGAATTTAGCCCTACATTTGCCATCCTGCAGCATCCCCACTGTGCAGCCTTGCAGGACTGACTGACTCCCAGCCCTGGGAGCTTCACAGGCAACACCAGTCCAGTCACTGATTCTGATCTCTCAAATCCCGACATCTGCCATCCTGCAGCATCCCCACTGTGCAGCCTTGCAGGACTGACTCCCAGCCCTGGGAGCTTCACAGGCAACACCAGTCCAGTCACTGATTCTGATTTTACAGCCATCAGCCACTTTAGTCATGAGACACAGTAAATTGGAGCCCTCACTTCTGCCTCTACAAACCAGCATTTCTGCAGGTCCCAAGTACCACATTTTGGAATCTACAAGAAAATTCAGTGTCCCTGCCTGGCCTGAGAGTCCTGACTGCCATGTTCAGGGCCAAGTTGTCTACACAACTGCTGGGAGCAGCTCCTGCTCTCTGCAGGCACCCCAAGGTGTCCTTTCCAGAGGCTTCCCAGGGTGGCACAGCCCCAAACCAGCCCCGAAACAGCTGCCAGGCGCCACCACGTGGAGAGACCTGGAAAGGCTTCCATGAAAAATTCATTTTCACCTTGTTCTTACTCTCGAGCACCTTGTAAAGACTTTTCAGTCAAAGTGGGTTTTTCAGTACCTTGAATAAAACAAGAGCCATAGCCCAGTGTTTTCAGCCTCTGAACACCAACCTGAGTGTCCCTGTCCCAGCCACTGTCCTGTCAGAGCAGCAGCTTTTACCAGCACGGTAAAAAATCCCAGTTCCTCTGGGCACAGCCTGGGATCTGGGGCTGAGCTCAAAGCCAGGAGAGCAGAGAGAGCAGCCCCAGGCAGCCCAGGCCCGTGCACAGCCATCAGCAGGGGCTGGGCCTTACCCGCTTTCTCATCGTGGGTTCCTGGGACTTCTCGAATTTCCGCTTCCTCCACAGATGCACCTCGTCAGACTTTCTCCTCAGGATGGAGTCGACCGGAGCCTTTTTGGAATGTTCCTCTGATTTCCGCCTGGGAGTCTCCTCGCAGTCCCCTTTCCGTTTGGCAGCATCTGGAACTTCCTTGTTGTCTCTGTTAATCTTCTGCTCCTTCAGCAACGAGCCCGGGAGATTTGACGCGTATTTAAATCCTGGTCCGCGCTTTTGCTTGTACGCCAGAGACACAAAACACAAACCAACTTTATACCTTATGCATCTCCCAGCCCTTCACCTTGCCACCAGCACCCCAGCGCTGCTGGGTTGGTCGCTTTTTAACTCACAAAATTATTAGTAAGGAGTCAGAAGTTTTAGTTTTCCTGAGGTTATTTTTCTAACTACGCACTTGCAAGTGTCTGTCTCGCTCTGCAAAGAAATAGTGTTTCACTAATTCCAACAGACACTCCGGGTTTTGCATAATTGCTTGTGAATTTTTAATTTCAGGACTTTTCATTGTCAAAATTAACATGCAGCAGTGCACAGAACTAACCTAAATATTCCCCAGGTGCTGGGTGAAGTGTTGGTACAAGTATACAAAAATTACTGAAGAACAGAAAGCTGTGAGCTTGTCTCCAACTCACAGAATCATCATGGAATGAACCACATAACCCTGGAAGGGCTTGGGTTGGTAGGGGCCCCAAAGATCACCTCATTCCAACCCCCACCATGGGTAATTACAAACAAAACCTGAATTAAGCACAAAACCAAAAGCTGGTATTGGGCTAAAGTCTATCTATAAGCCAGAGGGAATGCTTAAGATTTTGTATCTCATTCCAGCACCACTTATTCCCATTAAACTCACTTTTCCAGTTTTCCCTGCGTGGTTGCACTTTGGACACTCCCAGCAGTTCGGCAGCTCATCGTTAACCACACCATCCGATTCCTTCACCTGTGGGAGACACAACCGCTCACAAGCCTGCAGGAAGGTGATGCTCATTCCAAGGCACACTGTACAGCTCCTTGTTTTCTGGGAGGGACTGCAGCCCTCCCAGGGAGCAGAGGCACCGTGCTGAGCAAGCCCTGGGTGCTGCACGGCCACCCCTCGCCGATGTGGAGGAAGGGACCAGGCCAAACACATCTGACAAAGGGCTCGGCTCTGGGCTTCCCATAAGGGCAGTGACCATCCCAATCCACACACTCTGCTCTTGGAACAACAACAGAGAACTCACCACGAGCCCAAGCAACCCCAAAGCCAGGGCTGCACCATCCCCAAACACCCTGCCACCCCTCGGGTTTGCAAAGCCCAGCCCTGTGTCCCCCCGGAGAGGCACAGCCTGATCCCTCCACAGGCAGGGCTCTCCCATCCATGTTCTCCCATCCATTAATCCCATGGGCATTTTTAGCAGCACAGCACCCTGCACTGTAATCAAGTGTTCCTTAAAATACTTCTCTTTCAGGATCAGAACTAGCAGTCCCAGGCTGCAGCCCTCCAGCCCGGTGCCAGGGGGGATGGTGGCTGCCAAGGCAGCTCGGAACAGGCACGTTCATCAGACTGGACACACGGAGCATTTCCAGGCCCTCACACCCCCAGGTCCTCGGCCAGGGTAAGGGAGAGAGAGGCTGACAACTTCACTACCTCCAGCACTGACATTTTGCTGTCTGAAAGAAACTTATGCTTCATGTTGTTACACTCCAGCAAAAGCCAATCCTGCCCTACACAGCTGGAATGCTCCTCATGTCTGGATTTTCACACAGGAGCCTGGAATGCTTTCCAAACAGGGAGCAGGCATTTCAGAAAAGACATTTCTGTGAATGAAAAGCAGAGCTAAGATAAACCCTGCACACACACACACTCACTGATGGCACATTCCCACTTAAGGGTTTCATTACATACTCAGAAATAAATAACTTGGGAAAAAAAGAAAAATATTGATTTATTACTACTGTAGACACAAAAACATGCTGCTGTCCAGACTAACAGCTGGGCACTGGCAGCAACAGTGTGGCTGCAGGAGACAGGAACAAGCACAGGCAGGGACCTGCAGATATTTTTAATGTTTCTGAAACCTCTCTTCCTCTCCTCCCAGTGCAGGGAAAAGGAACTGGCTGTGCAGGAGCAAGCCCTTGGATTTAGGAACTGCTTCCTCCAGTCCCTGAGCCAGACAGCAGCCATTCTAGTTTCACCATCCAGTGAGAGTGATGACATGTCAGTCTCTCAGCAAGACTCCTGGAGTTAATAAATAAGTAAATGAAGTGGGCAGAATTTAAATACTGGTTTTATCACAACTGTGTGCCTTTGAACCTTCTTTCCCATGGTAGGTGTAAGATACTCCAGGAGTTGTTGTATACATCTCTGCCTCAGGGGAACAATTCCTGGCCCAAGCCCAAGTTGGGAACAAGTTATTTCCCGCACTGAATATAGAACAAGTGCTGCTGAAGGGAAAGCATTACAGCTCTGTCCCTTCTGTGAAGTTTAAGGAACTGAACAGATGTGAGGAACTGTAAGCAAACTAATTAGACACACACAAACCTGCCACTGAATGTGTCCCAAGCCTTTCAGGCTGGGTGGGAGCCAGTTGTGAGTGTTTGCTGCAAACAGCAGGTGGGTGTCTGAGGCACAGCGTGAGGCGTCACAGAAACCTACCTGCAGCACCAGGTCAGCAACTCGGATCTGAGCACCAGCCCTCGGGCTGGGGATGCACTTGGTAGGGATATGGAGACCCCAGGAAGGTGATCTGGCATCCCTGAGGGAGAGCCATGAATTCTGGCAGTGCCCAGACTGAAACAGGCAGTGAGACACACCTGGGCTGAAGCTGTGCTGGAAAAGGCCTTTGTATCCCTGCTGCTCACACAAGGCACCTAAATATTCACTTCCATCGTTATCAGCACATTCAGCTGAGATGGAAAAGAACAAACTCCTAGTGCAGACAGGAGCCCGTTCTCCCTAAGGAAACAGCATCAGATGCTGCAGACATGCTAGCCAGCAATGCCAGCAATTTGAGATGAAGCAAGAAAAATTCACTGCTCTTGGTTCAACTCAAACACTGTGGAACAATGAAAGGCAGTGTTCATCCCAAAATCTCATGAGCTCCCTCTGGAAGCAGCGCTGTGCTTGCGAAACTCTCACCAAGATCATTTTCATAAGAAACCCGTTCAGCAAAACAAGCATTTGTGTTGGTGTGGTATTTTCAAGGAAAGAAGGGTGTCAGGAAGCTCCTGTGACACTTCTGAGGACATGGAACATCCTGCTGTCCCCAGCACAGCTCCAGCACCCACTGCAGGAGCTCTGGTACCCAGGGCCCCCACAGAAGCCCCTCAAGGCTCAGTGTGCCAGGGCACAGGTACACCTGAGCCACCCTTAATTTAACTCCTCAGACAGGTCCCTCTGGCACGGCTGTTTCATGGAGAAAAACCCCCAGAACATGAACAGCCTAATCAGGGAGCTGGAAGAGGATGGACTTCAAACCACAACCAACGTGCCTTGGAGAATAAATCACCTCCTGCATGCACTGAACTATTCCACAAGCTCTGGGAGATGCATCTTGGGAGGGAATTCACTCCACATGGGAATAAGCCAGGAAAGGACATCTGCACTGATTCAGTTTATTCCAGTCTCCCCCAGTAGTACATTTGCCAGACATTTAGCTGGAGATGACCAGCAGTTCACATGGTGCTATTTCTCAAGTGGGACAGGAAGGCAGCTGCCCTGGGGCTGCATCAAAGGCTATTTATGGGCTCCATCCTCAGGGCTCAAGGGCTCCAGCAACATGTAAACATGGCTAGAGATTTCTGTCTTGCAGGAAATCATGGAATCTGGGAATAAATAGCAAGGAAGGATCCAAGGAAGAGGTTCCATTTTCCTTTTGCTGTTCTCCTGAGCAGTCTCATCTCACCTTCCAAGATGATTCTGAAATTCTACCAGTGCTCTTTTGCCTCAGGAAATAAAACAGCACCAGCTACCCACCATTTCAGCTCAGCAGAAGCACTGAGAAATCAAAATAAAAGGCACACAAAGCACACAGTAAATCTCCCAGTGCTTAATTGTCAGGAACACCCAAAGCAATGCTGTTCCTAGTTACCAAAAGAACACTCAGAACACCACACGTGTAAGACAACAAACAGCACTTGCCTGACTTCACAGATCTGACCCACATCCTGTGCTAGTCCCAAATGCAGTATGGGGAGAGGAAGTCATACCTGAGCTGCCACTAGACAATAACTGTCCTCTGAACTCAGCCCTGAGGTGCCACTGACACTGCAAAGGCAGAGATGGGGGTGCACAGGGCACTTCCAGCAAGGGCTGGAACAGCAAAGCAGCCAAAATTAACGTACCTCTGAAAATGAGCAGCTCCTTCCTCTGCTTCATCAGCCCCCAAAGTTTGTTTTAAGCAGAGCCAAACAAGCAAAGCTCCTTTTCAGAGCCCATCTGTGGCAGGAACTGAGCACCAGCTCCATGAATCAGGGAGAAGGCTCAGCTCTGGTTTGCCAGCTCCCCACATTCTGCTCTAATAAATGACAGCACAGAGCTCGGAGCAGCACCACGTACAGCTCAGGAGAAATGAAAGGCCAGCAGAGCTTCACCCCAGGCCTGCACAGGGACACACACACCTCTCCTCCCAGACATCCCAGCAGGGCCCAAACGGGGCACGGTGTGTCAGAACACATTTGCTTTGGCAAATCACTTTAACCATAAACAAATCAGCAACAGGAAATGGCTGATCAGCTGAAAGAAACCAGCTCTGGAGAAAGGCAGCTTCTAAATGCTAATGCAGGAAGATATGCCCAAAATGACACTTTTGTTACCAGCAAAGAATACAGCTGCTCACAGGACTCAAGTCAGCCAAGGGTGAGCACTCCTGCAGCCTGACACTGGCTCAGGCTGCTCTCCAGAGCTGCACTCCTGCTCCAACAGTTGCTCCTAACATCTTCAGAGCCAGCTGCCACCCCAAGGCACATCTGTGCCTGGACCTACACGAGCAGCCAATTGTTCATCTGCACTTTGTGGGACTCAGGAAGAAGCTACTGACATGGATTTGGGAATATCTCACCCTGAAGTACAGGCAGATTGCTCTGCCTTCCCCATCCCAACTGAAACACCTCACTTCCTTAAACAAGGGGCAAAAAGAAAGAAACAAATCAGCAAGATCTTCACACACTCAGGGCATGTCCCAAGCCAGGGTCCCTGCTCCCAGGGAACGCTGTTACATCAAGGACTCTGCCTGCTGGTCAGGGCTGTACGTGCCACAGATCTCACCCTGCTCCTCACACCAGCTCTCTGCTCACTTACTCATCTGTCCAAAGATGAAAACCTAAAAGCTTCCCAATTTCTGTGCACCACTTTTACATTAAGCTGATAACTAATTCAGCTTTTGTTTCCAACATGTATCACATCCTTGTACTCACCTTAAGGCATCCTGGGTGTATGATTTCATTACAAATGGAGCATTCCATTAGCATGAGATTAAACTTGCTCTCCTCCTCTTCCACAGTGTCCTCTTTCCCAGCTTCTCCACACACCAGACACACAGCAGTATGAGGCAACACCGGCTGTTCACGTATCAGAAAGAACTGATCAAGATATGGCAGACATGGAAACAAGAGCTCAATGTGCATTTACAGTATCCTCATTTCAAAGAGGAGATAAATTACTGTGCAAACTGACATGAAGGCAAAAAAAAATTGTAACAAATTAGGGCTGGGTACCCTGGATCAAGCTCCACAGGACACATTTCACCAAAGTGCCCTCCCTGTAGGAATACGGGCTCAGGGAGCATTGCTGGGATGGATGAAAATGCATTTTTGGTGGGTTCCTTCAATCTGTGAGCTGACACAGACATTGGCATGCAAGTCACTTCACCAGTGTACAATGGGAGGGGAAAGAATCACCCTAGAACATCACTATTCACATCCATTAGGTTTCACAATCCGAGTAGCAATTTGGCAGCTCCCGTATTTTACAGGCAGGGCAGACAGATGTTATGGGACCTGATCCAGGTCTCACAGCAAGCCCACTACAGAACCAAGAACAGCCCTTTTCCTGACTGGCAGTCCATTATCCAGGGCCCTGCTCCCAACCTGAGCACTGCAAAAAGCTCTGCTCACATAGAAAGAGGATTCTCTCCTGCAAGTGTCACAAGTGAGATCACACAGATTTTCTTTTTCTTTCTTTGAGGCAGAAAGGGAACTGCAGCATCTCACATACCTGTCACCCATGTCAAAGTACTGAATGCCACTCTAATTAAAAAGACACCTTTTTGCTAATGATTAACAAAATTCTGGTCTGCAGAAATAAGGCATAACCCTCATTACAAAAAAGAAAAGGAAGAACCTAAGCTGCCCACAAAGGGCAGTGCAATCGATCAGGCTGCCAGTCCCTAACTACTACACAGCCAGAAGCAGAGATGGGGCTTTTCCCAGCAAGGATCTTTTGTGGATGGAGTGAATCAATCCCTAAGACAACACCTGCACACCCAAATTTCAGCATCAACAGTGCATCCTTCAGCAAGTTTCAGGCAGGGGGAAGCCCAGCTGTAGTGAGCCATTAGAGCCCAGAGCATTTTGCACACAGCAGTACAATTTTTCTTGCTGGGAGCAAGGGTGTCCAGGCAATCTCCTCTGTGCCACCACTGCCTCTGTCCCACTGATGGGCTGCAACAGCAGCTGGGCTGTCACAACGTGTCCTCCCAGTGCCACTCCAAGCAGCAGTGTCCCAGGCACTCCTGCTTCCCTTCCTGGTGGAACTGGTGATGCAGAGGAGGTTCCTGCTCTCTGAACAGCAGTACCACGGGCTCTCTGAAGGCTTCTGAGCTTAATGAAAGTCTGTCTAGTTAATATTGTCAGTGTTATTAACCAAGGCAAGCACAGTCCCAGAACTGCAGGGATCATTACTTCCATACAGCCTCAGCATCTTGCAGGATCTTTTTGGCTGGAAGCTGCTGCATAGGTACCACAATATTGTTACTGCTGAATTGTCAGAGAACAAGGGCAAAGCCAACAGGACTGCATACAGAAATGTAAAGCACCTTGAAAGGTACAACACTTCAATTTCTTAATTTTCTGGGCCTTTGCTGCTTTAAGAATTTGTAATAATCTCCCTGATATTTGCACCAACCTAAAAAGTGCACAGAAGTTACTGCCAGTGCACGTGAGGGTGGGACAAGTAATCGGAGACGCCTGGCTACCTCTGTCCTAACTGAAAGTAAAACTCCAGGCACCAAGAAGATAAATAAATCTTCACTGGAAGACAGAGGATGACTACACTCAGCTAGAACAGAAGCCAGATCATCTCCAAAAGGCTCAGCCTGTGTTACTGGGAGTGAAACAGCTTAGTATGAAAGTTTCCTTCATCAGTGAGGATGAGAAAGCACACTGCAGCCCTAATTTAATCCTTCCACTAAAAAGGCAGCATGATTTCACTATTTCTTGCCCCTGGAGAATAATAAATTCTTCATCCATGCTGTTCAATTCATGCCACACTCCAGGAAATCAAGTGTTCAAAGAAAAGACACTTGAGCTGCAAAAGCACTCTGCAGAAAGGTGGATATTCTGTGTACTTTACTGAAAGATCCAGCAGTGCTGAACCCAATCCTCTGTGTCAGGAACAGAACAGAGCTTGGCACAGAACATGGAGTGAGCTACCAGGAGCAACTACTGGAAACCTTAAGTGCTTATCAGTTTTTTATCACTGTTAGGTGAAGTAATTTAATCCTTCCACTTTGGTCATCTCCTAAGAATTAAAAGAAAAACCCCAAATACTAAGTGAAGGGAACTGTAATGAGAGAAATCAGTATAGATAGGGTGATATTTCAGTTATGAATAAACAACATTCCTTTCCTTAAAAAACAACAACAAAAGAAAACCAAACCCATAACAGAAGCATAAACAAGACCTTCTAAAGAATTAAAATAAAAACTAAAGCTGATTTTTAGCCTTGAACACAGTCACTGCAGACATGAGACCTGAGAAGAAGCTCCACAAGTCAGCATGGCAGCTACAGATTCAAAAGCTGCTTGAACAACTTAATGGAAGATTAATCTGTCAATATTTGTTAAACAGAAAGCTATAGCTTGTGACTCAAGAAGCTCCTAAGTAATGTATCACAGGAGCCCAGGAAACTGACTGCCTGCTTGCCCTGCTCTGATGTTCTTTCCCTGACAGCCATTTCCAGTCCCTGAGGAAGACAAGACCCTGGACTGATGGCTCTCTGCCTCATCCAGATCAGACCCTCTGCTCTATGCCTAAGTAACAGCAAACAAATTGAAATTCAGATCTCTGGGAGCCTGGGGCTGGGGTCATCAACACCAAAATCTTGGGGGCTGTCAGTCAAGGATTCCTCTCATCCTAATTTGTGTGGATAACATGGCAAAGATGATTGCAGGGCAGCTTTTCTCAGGAAATTCCAACATCCAAACCAAACACACCTCTTCATCCTTAGAATCAGAACTTCCTACTCTTCCCCTTTTCCTCCACATCCCAGAGTTTGAGGGTGATTTGAGCGCTAATTTTTGATGTAATGACAGTCTCCACTTCTATACTGCTAAAAGGAAAGCTGCCCTGTTTTAGTAGCATTCTGGCTTAGGATTTGGGGAGGATGAGGAGCACTGGGAAAGAAGAGATCTGAGCTGGGAGGGCAGGGATTACCCACTTTTGTCCGGTGCACTTTAGAGACCACTCAGAGCAGAGCTCCCAGCCCCGCACCCCCAGGAGACACGGCGGGAGGAAAGGACTCTGCAGGCGAGCTGCAGGCCCGGGCACACTTACAGCTATGCACTGCCTCATGATGCAGGACTGCTTCATCCTGCCGGGCCCCCCGAACTTCTTCATGTCCTTGCAGAAGTGGCACTCGCCGCACTCTGTCCGCAGGCACGCCTCGCACTTGCGGCATCGCGTCCTCCGCCGCCGCGCGCCCGCCGTGCTCCGGTTGGCCGCGAGCTTCACCGCGGAGGCAGCGCCCAGCTTCCCCTTGGGCCGCCCGACTGCCCTGTTCTGGAAGAGACACACACACACACACAGGGTCAGCTGCACGTGCCAGCTCTGCTCTGCTGAGCTCTGGGCAAAACTGACTGCTGGTAGTGAGTTATGCACACACAGGTAAGGCTCAGCGGGTATGTACGGCCACTCTTAGGCATAAAGGAATCCATAGATTTTCCAAGAAAGGATGGGCTGTAAAATGACACAGAAACCAGGGCACAAATGAGAGATCCCAAAGCCAGAGCAAGCCCATTTCAACAGGAGGGCAGGGAAAAGGCATTTAGGCACAGCTCAACACAAGATCAAGTCCCAAGTGAGGCTCTCGGCTTAGGTCAATAGATGATCCGTGCCAGTGCTGAGCTCTGGCTATCTAGAGATAGCTTAGATTCAAGCTCAGGTTAAGCCAGAAGGATTTCCTCAGCTGAGTCCAAGGAGCAGCAAAAGCGATTTGGTGGTTAGGTACAGCAGAGAAACACTCAGCCAATGGCTCAAGCCCCCAGTCATATCCCTAAAAAATCAGGAGAGTATGAACTACTGCCAAGCAATAAAGTAGGAAATAAAACACAAATGCTACAAAACCCTTCCAAGGTAGCTCCCCTCCTATCCAACACCAGCAAGTGCTCAAAAATAGAACACCAACTGATGATGTGCAAAGGCTAAAAAGGGCATCCCAGGTCTAGATTTCAATGACCTTTAAGACAGAAACTAAAGGAGCGTGAAAAGATTTGAAATTATTAGGTTAACTGCAACATATTCACTCTGGACATCCAAATTTCGTGTTCTCACCAGAAACCCCCTGTTATACACAAGAACTTACAGCTCAAGCCAGACATCACTAAATACCATGTAATTGTATGGAGCTAATTATGCAAGAATTGGCTTGGCTCATACTGACCCCTGACAGCTTTCTCCATAAAGATGATAATAACAGGACCGCAAAGTTCATTTGGTTTAGCATTTATACAACTCTTCCATTTTCTGCACATCTCAGCATATGACCAACAGACCACCCAGTTTCACTTTCTGTTCCTGTTGAATTCTGGGCAATCACCAAGGCAGGGGCAGCTTGGCTGTAAGGAGCCATGCAGAAATTCCACCAGAGTTTTTAAATGAAAAGATCTGCAAACATTGCACTTGGTTGTACAAAAGCTTCCCCAAGTGTCCTGCTGTACAACCCTGAAGAGAAGCCACACTGCAGTGTATTTGATCTTTCTCCCAGCTGACTTAGCAAAGCTCCAGTGACTTTCTCAAAGCTGCAGAGAAGTGCTGATATTTTAACAGACTCCAACCCAGGAATTTGTGCTGGAAGAGCAAAGAAGTCAGGAGCTAGACCCCTTAAGTTTTCTCTCCTACAGACTGACTATCTGAGGTGGGAGAAAACACTACTCAGTCCATGAGGTTGCAGAGATTTCTGCAAAGTTTTTAATTCCACTCCTCCAGAACAGATTTTGTTCCGCGCGCAGGCTGAACCTCACCGCGCTGTGTGAACGCGGACGAGCACAGCTTCCTTCCCATCGGCAACCGCAGCAGCCGCCTGGATTTCAGATCAATGTCAGACACTCTAAAGAATAAATATTTACCTTCTAGACCAACTTTCCAGCCTCTCAAGGATAAAGTCGGCTCTGGCAGGACTGGCTTAGAGGCAACCTAGATAAGAGATAATTTTCTTCCTCAGCATGAATCACTCCTCCATTCTATTAGAGTCTCCTTCAGCTAGGAAGGGAGGCGAGACACGAACCAAAGGCTGGATAGCAGCGGGAACAAGTTAAACCAAAACATGCACAACAACCTTGGCAGCTCCCTTGGACAACAGCACATGGAAGATTCTGTGTGAGCACCTGACTCCTTCCTACTGGGAAGCAACATGATTAAGTTTGAGGCAAACAACAGCTATGATACCGTGAGAATGCTGTTTTTAAATGCTTTCAAGGAAAAATCAAACTCTGTACTTTTCCAGCTGAAAGACAACTCCTGCTTCTGCCAGTGATACGAGCCAAGTACTAATTCTGAGGACAACAGTTTTAAGTGCCAGGACACTGCAAAGACAAGTGATAAAAGGCATCGCTTGAACACAGAATTTGAGAATCCTAAAAAAACCCACAAAAGCAGGAAGGTGAAAGTACAAGAACAAGCCTGAAGTCAGACCATACCACACAACTCAGATTTTCTTCCAGACACCACCAGAACACAGCAGAGGTGCAGACCTCCATCTCACAGTATGGAACATTTCTTGCCTACCCAAACCTCTTCACTGCTCATTAGCAAATTGTACTAGCTGGGTTTGTACCAATTTACCAACCAACCAATCCTCAATCCAAGCCACGTTTTCACTCCAGGATGTCGCAGCCAGCAAGGCTGGAGAGGCCTTGAAGGAATTCCCATTCGTATCTAGTTTCAAGGGGCTCCAAAAGTGGTCGCTTAAAAACCTCCACAGAAGAAAATCTGGCCCGGGATTCAAGGGGGTAGAAGGAGCCTCCAACATGGCTTGGGGTTTATTTAGCACATGGCAGCCAGCCAGATAAATTCCAGGTCGATGTTAGTGAGGAGATGCTGCAGGATTTCCAGCTCAGACTGCAGTTTTACAACATACCAGGCCTGGTAATGAGACTGGGTAAAATCTCCTTCAAAGTTCCTGTCCCCATCTCTGTACTGCCACTTGCCACCCTCCCAGCACAACTCCATGGATTTGTCTTGCAAATAATGAGCACATGGCAGGGGATGGCAGCACTCCTTACACTGGGTGGCCAGCAAACAGCAGCTCCACGGCCTGAGGCTCAGGACTGGGTCACACCCATTGGGGTGACACAATCTGACTCCTGTGGAGGGGACTCCACCATCTCCTTTCCCAAGGAGATGCAGCCCTCAAGCACAGCCTGGACCTGATGACTCCGAAGCCCCCCACAGCTGTCTCTGAGAACTGTCAAGGAAACAAAGATTGAAGATTTTTCCCCCCCCCTTAAACCTTACAACAGAAGCCAGGGAGCTCAGACAGAGCCTGCCCAAAATACCATCACCAGCCACTGTGCTCTCCAACATCTCCACAAGAACTGTGCTCCTAACTTCTATGGCCACAGCAAGTCTTCAAAAGAGAGACAGGGGGATGCTGAAGTGGTGACAGCCACTCTGCAAGCTCTCAACAAAGGCAGAGCAAGCAGCTGCTGAAATGTATTAGGATTAATATCTTAAATCCACATCTCTATTACACTGAAACCTAGAAAGCTGGTGGGCTTGCACAGGACACCATGCTCGGTTGTTCATTTTGTTTGGGTTTTTTCTGTTTGGCGTTCTTTTTCTTTTGTGGGATTTTTTTGGTGCTCTCCATATTAATGCTATGACACACAAAGGTAACTTGTTCCTGTTCTCAGAGCAGACACAGCACCTGGGCACTGGGGGTGAACGTGGGCCATCACATGTACTATCCTATGCATTACAAAACCATTTACAAGTCAAGAAGTTGGGCTCACCCTCCTACACCACAGTGCTTAAACATGCCCACCCCTCCAACAGGAAACGCGGTGATTTTCTGAAGTGCTGGCCTCCTACAGACCCCACCAAATTCAACACACTCCTGTTGGACAGCAATTAGGGGACTGGGTGGGGTGGTCACCAGTAGTTGAAGTCTCTCAACATGACTGTGCAGATCTGGGAATACGCTCAGGTGCAACACTCACAATTCTAAACCACCCCTAGGAAATGAGCTACCTGGAAGCCTCTACTCAGAACATGAGTTTATCCTGGTTATGGACAAACATGTGGCTGCTGGCAGTTTCCACTGCCTACTTACAGGTACCTGAGCACACTTCCACGTGTCCCAGCCCTGCCCAGCTGTCACTAAACCACCAACCAGAGTCAGAAGGACCAGAGGCATTAAGGAATGGCCTCTGCCCAGAGCACAACTCTTACTGCAACAGCAACATAATCCTGATGTTTACAGCAGCAAATTTCTAACCTTCACAATTACAAAGAACAACTCAAAAGACCTCAGACAAACAAAAAATACCATGAACACAAAGCTTTGGAGAAAACACTGCAAGAGCTATCAGCCATTAAATGCACCATTAAAGAGGTGCTGATGTTCCCCAGCTGCTGTCCCAACACCACTGGGATCTGCCAGAGATGTCACCAGGCAACTTCACACACAAACTCCTCCACCCTAGAAAGGAAGATCAGCTGACCCCGTGACCAAGACCAGAAGGAGGGAGGTCCTGGTTCTCAAAGCAAGGCTGACTAAGCCTGCAGCCTAGAAACAAGCTCTTCTGCCAGTGGCCTTTACCTGGGCACAGCTCTTATTCCACCACTCAGCTCCAGTGACCTGCTTTAAACTGCTGCCAGCAGCACCAAACCATTATTTCAGACTCAACATCTCCAACAAAAACCCAGAGACGTGTGGGGCTGTTCTGAAGGGCTTCTCAGGGGGCAGGTCAGCAAGACCCTGAAGCACTTCAACCAAGTACAGTCTGAACAGCTCATGTAGTATCCACTGTGTACATCTCCCCCAGATAAGACCTTTTGTGTGCAGTGTTCACTGCTTCAAGGTGCTGTGCCACACAAATATACCCCCTGCATTTGCAAGGAAATGGTGATTTCCTTCTGTAACACACAGACAAATTCTGATTATTCTCATTTACTGTAGTTTGACCACATCCACACAACCACAACAGCGCCCAAAGATGAGAATCCAGGACTTGCCAGGTGCCAGTTCTGAGCTTAGAGCTTTATGTGGCACTGCATCCCAGTGCAATTGTTTTAACAGAATTAGAATAGCCAAATCTAACTACCACTTGTTTCTTTAGAAGGTCTGACAAATAAACGTTAGAGAGTAAACATTTTTTTACAGAAGTTACATGCATTAACCCACAGTTCATAACTGCTGTCACCTAAAACATCACCCTAAAGGGGATGGGTCATGGGCAATACTGGGCACTGGAGACACCACAGGGTGGCACAGCAAAGGCTCCTGGTCTGTTAGGTCTCTGTCCTTTCCCACTGCACCAGAGGTGCATTTTTCCATCCAA